CACACACACACACACACACACACACACACACACACACACACACACACGAGTTAGCTCCTGCGGTAATGACAGCTGAGCATGTTTCCACAGGCTCAGCAGAAACACACTCCGTCAGGACAGTTAGTTACAGAGGGGACGATGGCGTCGCTCAAGGCAGAAAAAAAAAAAAAAACTGGAGTGAATGCGAAGGAAGTCAGATTTTACTATAGCAGTTAATATGATGATCTACTGAGCTACAACCTGCTATTAAACACAAGGAGAGGACTGCAGTCATACAGTGATAGATGTCGAGCAGGTCCTCTAGGTTTCTGTGGTCAATAGATAGACTGTATATACAGATGGGCGACGCGGCTCCACTTCCTTCCACTGTACAAAAGTAAAGACAAAGTATGCCAGTTAAGGACGCTGCCCATAGACTGTATAAAAGAAGTGGACGTAGTCATTGTGACGTCACCCATTGGTTTGTGGACTGCCGTTTTAGTCGCCATCTGGGAATATGACTGTTGCCATGTTTTCCTCGCAACCGATGAACGGTAACCATATTTGGAATGTGGAGGAGTGATGTAGTGACGCCGTATATGGCTCTGGTAGCAATCCGTCAATCACAGTAAGCCCGCCCTAAAGCATACCTTGCTTTATGGTCTATTTGACTCTAAATGGACCATAATTTACGAAATGAACATCATGCTGTATTGAAGAAGACTTGAAAACTAGAGATTGAGACCATAAACTCATGTTTACAATGTTTACAGAGGGAATAAATAACATTTGCGATTTGGACGTCATTTGGAGCCAGAGCGGCATCGAGGTCCTGACTAAATACCCGCTAGAGCCAATCACGAGCTGAGCAAGGAGGCCACAGTCCGTTAGCGTGAGCCACTTAGCTGCTACGTCAGCACCACGGTGGCTTTTTGGCAAGCAAGACACAATAACTAACCACAATACCTCTGTAAATTAGAGGTCGATAGATAGTGGATTTTTGAAGGTTATCGCTGGAATGCTTTGACAGAAAGTGGACCATTACTTTCTGAAGAAAAATAGCTCAAACATTCTAAATAAAAAATATCTAAAACGAAATTTAAAGTCTGCTGGCATTTACAGCCGGAGTGGAGTGCCGGTCTCGAAGTATGAGTGCTATTTGATGTAGTATTTAACATTTGTCTAGATTATAATCTGGAGTCGTACACTATCGGACAAATTGACACACGCTCTACCACCCAGACGGTTATGGAGAGTCAAAGTTACAGCTCCTGTCTCGCACATTTCCCCAAGCATCCAGCTCTGGGACTGCTGACTCAGCTGTCAGTCATGATGTCTCATGCATCTCTAAGCATCAAATGAAGAATGAATAAACACTTTAACATACATCAGCGTGACAACAACGCCACGAAATCACAAACAGCATATTTGGGAGAAATCTATTCGACGTTTACTTTGATTTATTCTGGCCGCTAATCTGGAGGACTTTGGGACCTGTACTGCAGCCAACCACCAGGGGGCTGAGCTGTCATGTCGCCCATCTTTATATACAGTCTGTGGGTGCATGCTGAGGCTGTGAGCGACCACGCCCCGGAACGGACAGCGACGTTGTGCATCTTAAACAACTAACAACATTTTCACTGACAGCTCAGAGGCTCAGTGACACGAGTGTGTGTTGGGCTTGACGGCTTTCCCTGCGGGTTCTGTGCGAAACGTCAGACGTCTCTACGGCCGGTTTAGTCGAGATATAACTTTAAAAAACGTCCCCACTCAGCAGCCTGACTCTCTACAGACGAGTTACCTGCGATGGTCTCCAGCAGCAGCATCAGTTTGAGTCCATCCCTGAAGTCCTCCTCGATGTTCTCGATCTGCGTGCCGGACTTCCTCAGGTGGGAGTTGCACCATGCCGTGAACGTCTGCGTGAGAGAGAACAGAAACAGGAGGCACATGGTTATTATTCAGAGCCTGTTTGGTTTGTTGGTTTTTCAGCTTTTACGACAATAAATCACTTTCAAATCAAAAGAAAATGAATTTCAATGGACAGGAAGGAAGGTCAAGGAGTTACTTTTGATAAGACAGGAAGTAGCAGAAGAAAAAAGGGGAGGAGACAGATGTTATAATACAATACCTACAGCTAAGAAATGAGAGCGGCCAGTGACATCAAAGAATAATTTACACTGTATGTCACAATGAAAATGTGGCGTTGCGAGCAGCACAAATCTCACACGTCAACAGCTGCTATCACGTTGTTTTTTTGTGCTTCTGGGTCGCCAGCATTCTTCAGAAATGTGTTTAGAATCATTTTATTGTGAAAGGGTTTCGTGGCACTGAGGTAGGCACGGGACCGGAGAGCTTTTGTCACACCACTCAGTCAGAAATCACACTTATGCTCGTCAATGTGTCACTTTTATTTCCTGACTTGTTACATAATTCAGGGGAAGTGCCTAAAAAATGTCAAGTGACAAAAATACACGTTATAAAGCATAACAGCTGAAATGTAACAGCTTTGAGAGGGAATGTCCGTCATGAGAGGGGAGGAGGAAAAAGGAAGCAAGAACGTGAAGGAAGGAAAGTAGGTTTTCCCCCCAGCTGGAAATTAAAGGAGGTAAAACAGACAGTTAAGTAAGATGAACAAGAAACATTTAGTAGTTTCTCAACTAAGAAATTTGCTGATGTTTTCTTTAGTTGTATATTTCATCTTTATTTATATACATTTCACTTTTGGACTGGAGGATAAAGATGAGTTCTCACCAGACAATTCATAGACTTATTTTAAAATCCTAGAGATGAACTCTGGCTTCACTTCAGACTCACACCAGCAGTCACAAAACTTCTCCAAAACTTTGAAAATGTCACTTTTGGTGCAGCGGTTTACAGAACTCACGGTTTGGATCGTGTCAGCGTTTATAGTCACAGATCGGATCAGCAGAAGAAAAAAAAAGGAGCAAATATAGGTTTCAGAGATGCCCACGATAACATTTGTGTGCTGTCGATACAGATTGCTGATACGGATCATTTGTGTCATCTTGTTTTGTTATAGCAGCTGGTATACAAGGCTCCAGATAATGGAACTCTATGGAACCTCCGTACGTTAGCCGTTAGCGCCGGTATGACCGGTACGGATCAACCACTGTCATCACCGCTGAAAGTAAGTGAGTATCTATCGACCCGTACACCTCTCTCTCCACCGCTGTGTGTTCACAAACATGACAGGAGGGCTCGCTGCCCTGCCCAGCTCCCCCCCCGTCCCCACCACGGGCACCGCCACAAAGCGCCCATTGAGCCTCCTGGATAATAGCACCCTTCAGCCCTCTGTATTCTCCCTCAGCTCTGTGTGTGTGTGTTGGGGGTTGGTATCGGCCTATCTGGGGGAGGGTCACACACACACACACACACACACTGAGGAGGGACGAAGGGGAGATACATTTCACATAAACAAACGGACGTACAGACAAAGTTGGGGGGGCGGGGGGCAGAAAGACAATGCCCTCTCTACCACACACACTCAGAGTTAACAACAATGCAGCAGGAAGTGGCACTGCAATGACAGGAAGTTCCAGCTTAGTTCAACACAAAGCAGACAATCAGAGTGGAGCTGCATCCATCACTGTCACTGATCTCTGCACTGCAAAGATGAAAGAAGCTTCCGGTTTGAGAGCATCATAAAGCATCTACAATACATTTTGTATTTCTATTATTTTAATAAAGAATCTAATTTGGTAAAGCACATTACAACTGGGGCTGGACGACATGACGATGTGTACATCATCAAACGTCTTTCAGTTGTCATTTTTACAACGTTGTTTCTTAACGAACTGAATAAAACAATGTGGAGGCCGTACACACCTCCAGATAACACAAATAACATTGTGTGACGCCATCACGCTACACGTCCAATACATCTCAATGACACCGAACGTACACAGAGCAGGTCTGTAAGAAGTACAAAAAACTCAACGACAGCAACAATAGAATAACCAGCGAGGTTATAGAGTCGATTCAGACGTGTAGAAATCCGTTTGCTGTCCCTCTTTGTTTTGATAAGATATGGAATAGACCTGTACTTATTATATTTAATCTAGTATTTCACTTTAAGATGTGGTTATTTGACATAGCAGAAATCATGCTACATGGTGATATTTATAGTCAGAGAGATATGAAAGGACCTATATCTGGATAGAAGAGTGTGGCCACATCTCCCAGTGACAACATTCACACACTCATCTCACGCTGAAACTTTGTTTGAAAAGTACTTTCTTCAAACTTTACTATGAACCTCACATCGTTCAGGGTTTGCATGATGCAACAGACTGTTCCATGCTCCAAGACTGTAACAGATGTTTAACAGGTTTGTTAAAAGAAAGAGGTGTAGCTGTTGGTGGACCATCAAATGAACACGATGAACGTCTCTAAACTAAAAAAGAAATCTCTTTTTCTGAATTGCCACCTAAATCCGGATGGAGCAAAGTGAGGAACGATGAGGGGTTTCTGTAAGTTTGGATGCTTTTGTTTAAAAAAAAAAAATAAATGAAAATAAAGGAACGTTAAACCGTATGGGAGAGCAGCTGTGCTAAACGCAGGCTCTGTTCCAACAGGAGCGCTGCCACTGGGAGCGGCGACGAGGAGGATACAAACAGGGACGGGTCGAGACCTGCAGGGAGCTAGAGGAACTTTACGAGGCTGCGGATCCCACGGCTTTCATCCGCCTCCCTCTGAGGGACTGGAGGTCAGAACCCCGTCAGCAGCTATGCGCCTTGCTCGAGGGCACTTCAGCCCGGCTTCGTCATAGCTTACAGTAGCCTGTAGTCGAGTCCGTGACAGCGTTCAGCTAGCTTTGATCATGGGGGGGACGTAGCACGCCTCTGGCTAGCTGATGTCACTCCGGGACAACGAGGTGTGGTGCTGCTGCGTGTTCGAGGACGGACAGGCGTGCGTGTGTGAGATCAGACCAGAGGATTTTTGCTCTGAGCTGAGGACACATAACAAGCAGGCGCGGCGCCTTCTCAACACTCACGACCCAGCTTTGCTCTCATCCTCCGGTATCTGTAGCCACGATGGACAACATCCTCTCTGACATCACTGTTTCACGCATGGGCTCTCGTCTCGCCGTTTGCGGTCACTGCTGAACCCCGACGTGTGTTAGAGCTGCTTTTGGGGATTTTACACGTCCGAAGCTCCATTTGTAACATCTATCATTGTCTAATCAAATTAAACAGAAAATCTTTATCAAAGCAGCCTTACAGTGCACACTGTTAGTGGGAGGGACTCCCTGGAAGACCTCAACCAACCCGTCCTGAAGCCCCCCCCCCCCGTCTCGTTTATAACACTTTGTGGGTGTGACTGGTGTCATAGCTGTACATATACAACCAACAGGGTTAATGATTAAACTGTTTACAAGAGCACAAAGTTCTTCATAGATCTAGCTCTCAAAGTGCAACGGACTGATGTTAAAATGCGTACTGTTCATGTTCATCTTTGTCTTGGTACAAGGAACTTGTAGTTTCAACATGAAACTGCTCACAACAAGGTCTGTGGCTTATCTTCAGCAACCGGTCAGGATTTCTAGCATGAACTGTCCTTTTTACTTTAAAAATCAAGGCTGTCCTTCTGAATGCATGATGTTTCCAAATTCAATGAATGATAGCCATCTCAATATTGACCAAAATAACCGTGATTGTGATTTTCGACATAATCAGACATCCTTGTTTGTGTTCTGGAGTAATATCTGGAAGCGGTTAAGTCGTCCAACGTGTCTCCGTCTTCTGTGGCAGATATACAGCCGCCTCCTCGCTGCTTTACTGCTGCCAGAGGGAGGAAAAACAGACGGAGCCTAACGGGGTCTACTGGGGTCAGCCGTTTGATCTCCATTTCCACACACAGTCATCAGTGTGACACCCCCCAACCCTAATGGGCCCTACAGAGGTCAAGGTTCAGTTAGCTATTCGTTTCAAAGAGAGGAACTCGGCAGAAGTTTTGAACTCTAAAATGCACACGCACATGAAAACACATGACACAAACCTCCATTCGAAACAGTGAAAACATGGAGTTCCATAGAGAGAGAGCAGAAAAAGGGTGGACAGCATCTCTCTCTCACACACACACACACACACAGGAATGTGCTTGAATGGACGTTCCACTACACACCTATCGTATACCTGTGCTGCCCTCTTCAATTATTTCACCAGTTCTTCCACACCCAACGTCTCAATGCATGTGCAGTTCTCTGAATACATAGGCAACCTAATTGTATGTATACTGAAGGGTGCACACACACACACACACCCACACAGATAAGGGTGTGTCTTGCTATACCTGGGAAGAATGAGCCAGGTTGAACACAAGGTTATTGCTCTAGTGCCGCGCATTCTCTGCACGTCAGCAGTGTGTGTTTTGTAGATCACACCCTTTTTCTTTCTTGCCAACGCCAATGAGCTCACTCTTAAAGCAACTCCACACTGACAGCCTGTTTCTGTGGCAGCTCCACTGACTCATCCACACTGCTGACTTTGTGTCACTCTTCAACAAACAGCTATTATACTGTCACTTTAACTCCTCGTCTCCACATGCTCGTATAGTTCTTTTTAAATTATATTCTTGTTTTTATTACTTTCTCTTTATATCTGTATTGCTGCTTGTGCTGCTGCAACAACTGATTGAACTGGTAAACATGTTTTTACTAAACCATATTAGTCTATTCAATACGTTATTAACATATCTTTATTTTCATGCTTTAGGGCGGGGCTACCGTGTGATTGCCCCTTTCACCGAGTGTTTAGCTCATGAAAGTTAATTGTAAGATTTTGGTCGCCTAAGAAAGTCTTGTTCAGCATTTAGCTGTACCCAACTCCATCCTCTCGTATCACCTCTGGTTCCACAAAAAGACAAGATGGCGACGGCCAAAAAACAAAGACGTCGA